ATTTATCATGAATATAGCTTTGACCTATTAGGCAGCGCTCAACAGATCTGCTTATACGCAAATTGCATTTCCAGCGGCTTGTGCGCGAAATCGCGCAAGATTTCAAATCGGACCTTCGATTTCAGTCATCTGCGATTGGTGCCCTTCAGGAAGCTACCGAAGCGTACCTTACCTCACTCTTTGAAGATACGAATTTGTGTGCCATCCATGCCAAGAGAGTCACCATACAGCCTAAGGACATCTTGTTGGCACGTCGGCTGCGTCGGGATATTGATTGAGGAATATGGAATTACTCCAGGATAACTTGGAATTGCGTAACTGAACCCTTCTAGAAGAATGATATGTCTTTTGGATATGGATGAATACGGACGATATGATGTCCACCTTGGGAAATGTCCCATCCCGTTGAAATCAACACGCTAGATCCAGAATGAGCCTCTGGGATACCGAAAATCCCTAAGCGTAAATAATATTGTGTCCTTGTTTCGAGTGACAATAAGTTGTCCTTTAGCCACGGGCGTGCCGCGCACGGGCCACAACTCCGTCGAGGTAATTGTGGCCCGTGCACGCCTGCTCTACCGATGTTTGGCCGCACACCGCAGAAGGGAGGGCGATTGCCGTATTCATTGGCTCTCCCACGCGGAAAGGGGGTATTCTGACCCGCACCCCTCACGTCTTTGGACGCGCCCCTAAGGTCCTTCCGGTTGTGGCCTGGCCATGCCAAGACAAGCCTTTTTCTACCAGCAACCACGCGTTACTGATATCAACACCAGAGATCACGTCGGATCGTGACAGCACTCCGCTCTCAACACCGCAAAAATTTCGAACCGTCATTCTTTACGATGTCGGCCGTCAACGCAAGAATACAAGGTATAGAAGACACGCTCAAGAAGCTCCTAGGTGTCGTGGATAAGTATGGTTCACCCGGCAGGCACCGGTCCGCCAAATCGCGCAAGCCAAGCCAACCGCCTTGGAAGACGATCCGGTCCATCATTGAAAAGTTGGCGCAAGACGTTCAGAATGTTAAAGAAATGGTTGAAGGCTCCGGTATTGATACAAGGCACGACCGACGCACGGGAGCCAATAACGAAAAAGCCACTCCGGAAGATCCGTTACAGATCTTAGATCAATCACCACATGAGAGACAGCAATTTGGCCAAAACTCTTCAGATACCGCAGGAGACATTCAGAACGACGCACCAATTTCTGCAGATTCCAGCACGAATACAGACCGTCAGGCGATACCAACGCCGCTGCTCAGCGGGTTGGACATAGACGAGAATCGCGCTCCATCAACTCCTATTCCTAATCAATCTTGCACCGCACCAACCACTGTACCGACGACAGTTCCTACTAGCGTCGAAAGCTCAGAAGTCGAAGAAAATACTGCAGTGGTCGTGAGTATGCCACACAGTTCGAGCCACCCTATCATGTCGACCATTTCTCAGTCCGACACTTCGGCACAGAGCGTATCTGAAATTCCTCGAAACCCCAACATCACCATCTCTTATCGAGTGGAGCAGGGCGTCGTCGTTCTAGTGCCCGGGAACATGGATCAGTGTCGCGATATGCCGTTTCTTTTCTCTCAGGCCGAGGCACTTGGTGCACGTGAAACAGGAGTGTTTAAGTACGTGCTCCCGAGCGACTTTAAAACGAATGCCTACACCTTCCCTAAGATTACAACGCGTATATCTAAGTTTGGGTCTCGCCTCAGGTCGGACGACATTTTTCATATTTCACGGACCGAGGATCTGGAGACGCTTGAGGTCAGCGAGACCAGCTTCACACCCATAGAGGCAGACGAACTATCGGAGATGTTGGAGCGTCGTCTGGCCGATCCTGAGGCGATGAGCAAGATGCGATACTGTACCGATCTTTCGGCGCAGACTGCCGAAGCTCGGCGACAATTGGGCTTACCCGCAGAGTCCCCCATCTGGCCTCTGAAAGGTAACATGTTGGATCGCACCAAGTACCGCGTCCCAGGACTCCACTGGCCGTATGGATACGTGTCTGGCGATGACGGATCACTATTTGTCATACACCGTGAGGACGGTAAGCTGCCGTCGCTGAACGTCCTACACTATGGCAGAGAGAAACTCTGGTATGTTGTGGCTCGGAAAGATGGCTACCTCGTTGAAAACGAAGTGAAACGCGGGAAATGCGAGCAGAAAGTACGACACGCTTCGGACTGGATTCCACGGTTAAAGCTCAAAGCCATGGGTGCTTCCTTCGCCACATTTGTCCAACGTCCGCGGGAAGTAGTCGTGGTGTGGGGCGACAGCTACCATCAAGGTGGTACCATTGGCCACACCGTTGCCGAAGCCCTAAACTATGGCGGCCCTGGTTGGAGCATCGAAGGTTACTCTGAATGCAGCCCCAATTGCGATGGATTTCCTATCCCAAATGCGTTCTTAGAGTTCCGTGCCCCGAATGAACCACAGCGCGAGCAAGGCGACGAAGTTTCACAGCCAGTTCACGGCTCGCTCCAGTCTCAAGGACGCGAGCTGCTAGGTAGAAACCGTGCGCCGACCCGGGACGGTAAAGCGACAGAGAACGAACTTAGGATGAACAAGCAGGAGGCCAGACCCCGAAAGAGGCGCAGAGACGCGCCGATCCAGCAGCACTCCCGCAAAAAGACCAGGTTTCAGACTATACACAGTTTAGCCGATACGGTAATGACTAAAACTGAGATCCGCAAAGATCTAGTCTCACGGATGGTGACGGCTATTCGAAGTAGAGACGCATTCCAGCAGTTCTGCGATATTATCCACGGTCGTCGAGACCCCGAACCTACAGCGATACGAATATATCTCACCACAAATGCGTCCAAAAGACAACTTCGGATCCAAGATCCGGCCCAAATGCTCGAGAACGATGTGAAGTCCCTCAGTATGCTTTCACGCAAGACTACCTTTCATGACTTCCTTACTCGGTTGTTCCAAGTCCGTCTTGCCGATCATATTAACGAGATTAGCCGAGGCCGTCTAAGGAGTGAGCCAGCTGTCATTGCAAAAATCCTTCAGCGCACGGGGATGTCGAAGCGCCAGTACCTATACCATCGAGATAGAGGGGCGAAGTGGCGGGAATACTGTAAGGTGTTTCCAGGTATCCTTAGCTTCATCCCCTTCGAAACTCAAAGATTTGGCTTTTCTTCATCGTCTTGGCTCAACCTCGACGAAGGAGAGTTTACCTCCTTACGTTCTCATCTGAAAAACGAGTATACGTCCGCCCTCTGCGTCGCGGGGAGAGCATTTGAACACTCCCTGGATCCCACGGCAGACGATGTGGACTTTACCTTCGAAAATCTGAGTATATCACTGGACA